CTCACCTGGGAAAGGGGAGGGGGGGAGGGTTTGGGGGGGGGGGGGGGGCTTGGTTTGGTGCCAGTTACAGAGTCAAAGAGATTGGGGGAGACACTGGGCCAGTTTGAGGTCACACTAAACCCCTGTGTCTGTTTAATTTGGTTGTGGTAGGGACGGTGAGTCTGCTGCCTCCGCTCTGACTCAGACACTAAGCTTCTCAGAGCATGTGGAGGCTCTGCTGTGGAGATGCTATTTTTGGAGCATATTAGGAGCCCAGAAAACACTGACATTTAGATTATTGCCAAGACGGTCGAGAGGGAGCGGGAATGGCTTCATTCTTAGTGTTTATGACACACATACTCATTATCTTTGGAGAGAGTGACTTCATTCACTCGTGTCGATTTTCCTCTCCCATTTTATTTACGTCTTAAAATCGATGCACTGATCAGTTTGTCCCTAATGTTCAGATCTGACTGCTTTAAATTACACCGCATTTGAAACCAAGTTTGGTTTGTTATTATGAATACTGATTTTCCTGAAGCACTCGTACTCGTACGAAGCATATATAACACCAGGACCGTGGAGGTTTGACCTTGTCAAGAGTGCATGCATCAGATTAAACCTGCTATGGAAATTAGCAACGGCTTTTATTTACATATTAATATGGTAAGTTCAAATAGTAGTTTTACATCAATGGGGGCTTCAGGGAAAAAACAGCAGGGATTTGGGTGATTCATTTTTTCCAAGTCAAGTTTCAAGTCTTTCTCCTCGAGTCCAAGTCAAATCTCAAATCTTTCTACACTAGTCCGAGTCAAGTCTTGAGTCTTTCTACTTTCAGGGATTTGGGTAAGTAATTTTTACCAAGTCTGAGACAAGTCTTGTGTCTTTCTTCTCGAGTCCAAGTCAAGTCTCAAATCTAGTCCAAGTGAAGTATCGAGTCTTTTCTAATCTCGTTCAAGTCAAGTCTTAAGTTCTTTAGACTTTGCTGCGCAACGTAGCTCAGTGTTGTCAAGTGAGGGAATTATTTTCTCAGGCTCTCTAAGTCTCAGACTCGAGTCCTAAACTATGCAAACCGGTTCCTGCATACATAGCTTTTTAATTAATTTTGACAATAGTTGAATTGCATTAGATTACACTGGTGGCTTTGTTCCCATTTCCTTTTTGTCAATAGCTCATATGTATTTTCTTTTCTTTCAATATGTAAAAACAAAAAGCAAGAGACCAAATGATCTTGTTTTTCTGAACTCTATTTAGAAAATTAA